GGCTACTGACCTCACTTTTGAGCTTGCAGCCACAAAATGGGCAGCAATGACACATGAGCATCAAGTCCCCTTGAACAGAAATCCCCTTGAAAAGGAGCARTGTGCTGTTGGGTAGGAAATGTACAGTAGAAAGAGGACGCAGCAGTAGCAGCAGGATGGTTCTCAAACTGAGTACTGTGAACAGGTCATAAAAACTGCTTACCATGCATAGGCCTGTGCAGTCCTCTGCATACACAGCAACTTCGGCTTCCTCCCCTTTTCTCCCTCCTATTTATGGTGCTTTCACTACAGAGCTGGAGGGACTTGTGAAATGGACAACTAATTCAGTACAAAGGCAGCAGATATGCACCTTATCTGCCTTCAACCATCACCAGCACGTAGAAGCTTTTCTGTATCAGCATCTCCTCCAGTACACTCTGCTATATCTGACTGATAATGGCATCCTTATTTTTGTACTTCAATTAAGAAATTTTAAGCATATAACCTGATACTCCCTGGACTTCCTGAATTTCACAGGACAGCCACAAAAATTGTATTCAGCTATGCTTATTTTATGTGGATTCACTAATTCCTGCAAGTGGCAAAATATCATAATRTCAGATATGCTGCTGCAACTGTGCATCACATGGTAAAACTGGTGCTGATATGTCTTTTTCTTTAAGAATATTGCATCTAAACTGTGTTATGTTTTATAATCCTGTCTGAAAAAATAGGCAGAGGTTATACGTCATATTAAATATACCAATTTCTGGGATCCTTGTAGGTAATGTTTTATGTCATAAATACTTCTAAACATTTTTATTTTGGTTTCTGAAATGAAAGGGCAAGAAAATACCTCTAGATCAATTTCTCATAATTCTGTAAGCGTTTCTTATGTTAATCCAATCAACTTGAAACATGTGGCTAGTAGGTTAATCAAACCATTTCACAAATGAGTTATTTATTTTTATGTTAATCTACTGTTTCATAATCACAAGTCTCAGTAGTTTTTCACTGCTGGGATGTCACGACTTTTCTTTGGAAGATTAATTTGTGCATTTATATTAATAGTTCAATGCCTTCCCTGTCCATCCTAGGGAAATGCTGAATCACAGGTATAGCATAGCAGGTTGGAATCATCCAAATGCACCTAGACCTGGGTTATGTAGAAGTCTATATCTAATATAGGCTCCCTTGGTACGTAGGGGAAAAAAAAAAAGCATCTCTAGGGCATGAGTCAGATCCTTCTAAAGTAGATGTCTTGAATGGGTCAGATGATTCGCTCCCTAAAATTGCACTTATTTCTCTGCATTAAAGAACAAGGAGTTTACTTCTCTAGACTGCAGCAGCAAGMAGTAAGGTGAGAGTAATTATACGCTATCATATTCAGATTTGCATTATCCTTCAAATAACCTGAAGATTCCTGTCTGCAAAGAAGTCTGAAAATGACATTGCTTTCTATATTAYTTGCTATTTATAAAAAGCAGCTTTTTAAAGTTTGCTGATTCAGCACATTTTTAGTAAAGTTGGCAGATGCCGTATGTTTCCCTGACAAGTTGTAAATCCTGTCTTGTTAATGGCATAAATCTTCCATTTCTCCATCTGCAATGTTGGGAAATATACGTAGAGGGTGGGTGAGGGGAAAAGATTTTAAGTCCAGGGAACGAAATCTATATTTTTGATGAAATTATGCAATTTGGGGTGAATGAAGAAAACATTTCTTGTGTCAAGCTTTTTTTTCTTTTTTAATTAGTACTCAAAATTTGGTGTGAGATGTCGTTGCAAAGTTGCACAGGTAGGCAGAGTTCAGGTGAAACAGTTAAAAAAAAAATAGTCTGGATACCTCAAACTTGCCAGAGGTGTCACATTAGTGTAGTTCATGCCAGGAGAATGTGTGCCAGCAGCTGATAAAAAAAAAAAAAAAAAAAAAAAAAAAAAAGCAAGATTCTCCTGACCAGCTCCGCTAGCAGGAGTTGAAGCCCTGCATAAAGCTGATGAGTAAGCTCTGCATGAGTCACTGTGGCAGATGCAGCCTGGAGCTCCAGGAGGGTATCAGGGAAGTGGGTGTGAATCCCCACTGGAGGGGAGCTTGGGGCAGAGCTGCTGCTGCTGCCTCAGTGTCTTGGGGGTAGAAGTGTAGGCTTTGAGTATAGCCTGAGATAGCAGCAGAGCCAAACTCCTGAAAGGGGTGAGTTTGGCATTACACATCACACATAGGCTTCATGTGAAGCGGGGTTAGAACACCACCTACTCACAGATGGGTATAATTTGGGGGATGTCCTGCATTATTCATGTGTGGCTTTGATACTTATGAGTAATTCAGACATCAAAGCCTCAACTTAGATAACACTTTTATAACACCCAACTTCCCATAGCCAGTAATATGTAGGCTTTCATTTAAGTTTCTTAAAAAATTATACAAATACTTCCTTCTTTACTTGCAGATATTTTGCATAAGTAATGCAAAGCACAAGGTAGAAAATACTGAAGCACGGCCTAGAGAAAAAAAGAAAATCCCATATCTTGCTCTTCACCGGGACTCAAAATGTAAATTTTGAAGGACTGGAAGCCTCTTTCCCATTGTTTCTAGACTGAACGGCACACCACATATCAGAACCTGTAGTCCCTCTGTTTTAATCCTTGTGCTTTGCCAGTGGCATGAGCCTTAATTTCTCAGCAGTCTAATTTTCTAACAAGCAATTTTATGTTCTCTTCCAAGTCACCCATTATGCATGTGAAAAAAAAAAACCCTTCCCATTAATAACCATAAAGCCCCTTTATTGTTCTCCTTCAAATCTCCTTAAAACTTCCTTCTGACATAAAACACTTGTCATTGGCTAGGCCTGTTGCTTTTTATTCTCAACGCTGCTTTTCCCTTATCCTTCCCCCATGTGTCTGTAGATACACCTGTTGTCTTTCATCATGGGTTAAGATCATAAGCTCTTTGGGCATCAACCATCGCTCTTATTACAAGTGTCTACAGTATCCGACACAATGGGACCGTGATCCCTGAATGGGGCCTCTGGGTCCTGCCGTGATCGAGTTGATAAAGAATAATGATTTTTGACATGGGGAGTTCTGCAGTTTTTACCAAGTCATTCTGCAGTTGTTCACACTGATAGAACCATTGTGCATTGGAGCGGTGTCCTTAAACCTGATCTATATGGTAAATGCTGTGGAACATTCCCGGAGAGCGCTGGAGCAGCCCTTGCTAACGCTGATTTTCCTGGGGTTTGGGCAGGGGGAAGGGGGCCTGGTCTGCTCTTGCACGTGGAAATGCATGGACTGATGGGCAGCAACTGCTTCTTTCCCTGGCTTTGAGCAGAGCTGGGGCACTGGGACCCTGGGGAGTCCCAGCAGTGAGTGGGGAGAGGTGCGAGGGTGGCCTGCGCCAGGCACAGTGGGGCCGCTGCCCTTCGGGGTGGGAGGGCGAGGAGGAAGGCGAGGAGGAAGGCGAGGACTCTGCTCCCTCTGCCAGACACGCAGAAAGGCGATTATTTTTAATTAACCCCTTTGCAAAATGCTCCTGCCCCTGAGCTCTGCTTCCTGCAGCAGTGACCTCCCGGGCCCTGTCTCTGGGAGATGCCCGTCCCCATGCACACRGTGCCACCTCTGCCCCTCGCCCCCGCGATGTCCTCTCCTTCACTCCCTCTCCTTCTCCCACCCCTCCCGCACCACGCTCCTGCCTTCAGCTTTGGCCCCGACCCCCCGGGGCTGCCGGGGGTTCCTTCTCCCTCCGCATCGTGCCCAGGCCCTGGGCGCTGCTCCAGAGAAAAACCAGGAGCCCCCTCTGCCCCTTTGCTGCTTAATGCGGCTGTACCAGAGCGCGGCGGAGCAGCAGTAACATCMATCAGTGGCATCATAGAAAGGAGCAGAAATCCTTTCTTCCCACCCGCCACCCGCCTTCCCCGCATCCCGGCACTTAGGAATAACTTCTCTTTTTGTCTTTTTTTTGCCTTTTTTTTTTTTTTTTTAGGGGGGGGTGTGGATATTTCCTCGGCGTGGGGCCGCCGCGGAGCCCCCCGCGCCGGGGCCGCCTCCCCCGCAGCCCTCTCGCCTTTGCCCCCGGGGCGCCCCCCGCCCCGCGCCCCCGGCAGCGCCGCGAGCCCCCGCCCGGTGGGCAGGAGGGCGGG